AAGACCTGTTCTACAAACTTTTCTTATAAATTAATATTAGTTTACTTAATATAATTTTTTATAAAATTAAATATAAATAAATTTTACCATTGAGTATATATAATTTCAATATATTACCTTCTACGTTTAATAAACACTAAATAATCAAACAAAATAAATACCATTATTTGCCTATCAATCAAGTAAAATTCTAATTTTCTTCTATAAAATATCTTTTATTCTTTTTCATACAATTTCTACTAAACTATCAATATATTTAACAACTGTTAAAACATTCAATTTCAAAAAACTTGTATGTGAAATAAAATCTGAATTTTTATAAACATTGATAAATAATCAACACTTTACAATTAAACTCATCCAGTTAAAAACATTAATTGCGCTTACAGTATAATTAAACATATTAGAGTTTACTATAGAAGAAAAAATGTTCTCAATACTCTGTTGATAAATTAACTTAAAGTTTTTATGTTTTGCATTTAAATGATTCATTGAATTTGTATAACCCATTCTATTTTTTTGGGTTATTGACCGTGATCCGAGTGAACATAAATTGCAAGGATACTTGCCGTCACTTGGAGGTCTAAAAAAGGCTTCTATGTAACACTTATTTGAAACCTTTACATTCATTAGTTTGCACAATTTGTAAATTTGTCAAGTTATTTAAAAAAAGAAAAGAAAACAGAAATCGCTTGATTTTATAATTACATAAATTTTATGTCATTAGTTTGTTAGAAATCGCTTAATTATTTGCAATATGCAATTACGTATATTGATACGTATTATTTTTTTATTACAATTTCTGACACAAGAATATGTATACAAAAAATTTAAAAAATTGCAATTAATTAACTAATTACAGCTACGCACCAATCAATTAATTGGATTCGAAAAATTGCCCCCACAATAAATTATTCGGTAGGCCTGCTTCACCAGGTTTATCATATCCTGATTCTGGAAGATTAGATAATAATTAATTAATTAGAAAATATAAATATTTAATGATATAATCTTGACTAAACCACGCCAATCTTCTGATAGTAGCCTAGCTTCTAAATTTGAAAGAACTCCAGAAGAACTTATTTATAAAATATTTATGTAAGTCACTTTAAGAAAATACATTAGCATAATTAAAATACATACAATTAATTTATAGATTTAATACCTGAGACAATGTTCTCTTTCTCACATATCGATATTAATGCAGACGATTCGGCGAGTCCTTAATAAAATCAATATCAAAATTTAAGTTTGAGATTGTGTAAAAAATTGGGAAGAATAAACGCTGGTAATATTACCATATCCCTGTCTAACCGATATTTTATAAATATTATAAAGGTCTTTGCACAAATTTTCAGCTGCACCAGAAAATACAAATTCCACACTTGACATGCTTTCAACCGAAGGTGATCTAACTAATGCGAGTATGATCGGTGGAACCGTGTAAATAAAGTTGACTTTATATTTTTGAACACATCGACAAAATGTCATCAAATTGAATCCAGGAAGAAGACTGCGGAAGCAACCTTTTAAAGTGATTGATATCATAAGTGTATTGACAAATAAATAATTTTCTCTCGCTATTGCAAGCTTACCGAAAATGTAACTAAATTAATGACAAAAACCAATCGTATATATGGAAAAATAGCTGCAGAAAAGAAAAATGATGGTGACAACTAATTTTTTTAAATAATAACATTAGGCATAAAAATTTACCAATATTCCTATGATGATATTACGAGTACTACTAGGAAAATGGGGACCATTCAAAGTCTGAAGGATTTTTGCTTTATGTTACACCTGATCTAGCCAATAAACATTGGTCATTGATTGTTTTAATTTTTTATGTTACACTTGATCTAGCCAATCAAAATTTAAAATTTGTTAACACACGGACATCAGGTGTATTATTGCTCTGCCTGTAATGTCCTTCGGACAAAAATACCTGTAGATGAAATCTGTGCCATATCGATATTAGCTACAGCATTTGTATGTGTGATTTCAAACCCCTTTTTGCTTTTCAGTAGTTCCAGAGCTATAGCACAGAAATGCGATTGTTGCTTTAGCCGCTTTTGGCGAATATGAACAGGTTCTGCTTCACGATCACCAATAATGAACTATGAGGTTGAAATCTACGAACTGATCTATTACCAAACAAAAAAATCCTTGATTTGGGAATCCTAGCTTCTTTGGTAGCTTTAATAGAAATGTCAAGATATAACAAGATACACGATTATAACGGAAGTACATGAATCGATAAATTGAGATGCGAATTCGCCTGCCATGTTTTTTGGATTTGCTGTTGTTACGGAGCCGCCTAAATGTCATTAATAAAAATTTTAAATCACGATCTCATATAATATTTTGACATACAATTATAAGATTTAACTAACTTACCGGCCGCTAACGACCACAGGATAATTAATCTACACCAATGTCAATTTGGGTTGCGCATTTATAACTGGTTTAGCTAACCATATGATACATGCATAAAAAGAACATGGATCTGCACAGAAACACTTAACTCATTGTATAACCATGCACTTCGTTGCCTCCGTCCCCAAAAAAGCGTTATATACGAGGTCTTACATCAGAACCTTACGAGTAGAAAAGCTTACAAATCTAATATTTATTTTTTCAAGTAATAATATCAGGTTTTGACAAGGCCATAAATTTGATATTGGTCTTGCAATAAGAACTGAACAAGATTATAATTTAATCGCAATATTTGAATACCATGAATAGCAACTACGGGTTAAAAAATTTTATTGGTGATAATTTTTAACAATCCACCGACATAGTACATTGTAAGTTAAAATTGTGAGCTACATAAATTCTAAACATTTTTAAAAGACTATTTTTTGGTATATATTTAACAGTTATTATTATACAATAAACAATATGTAAATGAGCACTTACTTCTAATTAATATAACTTTTCATATACATAATACAATTCAATGCTAATATTTATTTACACAGCATTTTGAAAATATTAATAATCTAGATATGTTGTACGTTAAAGAAACATAAAAACATTACCTCTATTATCAGCACTTTCATATTCATTTTTCTCTTCCCCATCGCTACTTTCATCAGCTTCATCTTGTTTCAAGCTTTTACATTCCTTTTCAATTGACTTCATAAGCTCTAGATTTTTTTCAATAAAAATACTAAACGTGAATAATACACGAATTAGTTCGATCAATTCATTTGTTGAATTATTATTATATGGAATTTTGACATTCTCTAATTTCCTTAACCGAGAAAATGGTGCAATGCTTCTATCAACAATAAATAAATCCAAAGATGTTCCTAAATTTATAATAATTTTAGTTTTGATTAAAGTAATGAACGAAATAAATACATAAAGAAAAATTATTAACCATGCGCATGTAATAAGAAAACATTAAGATTTTCCAAATTTTCTGCGTTACAATTTTGAAATCTCATATATTTATTGACCATATAGTCCAAAGCATCTTTGCCACATTTAAATAACTTCAATTTGTCATCTTCTATATGTTTTTGAACTTTAGCTGATTGAATAAAAGGACCATTGGAAACTTCCCCTAATAAAAGCACGAGATTAAAGAGATCTTCACTTTCATAAATGTTGATGGGACCTTTTGAACCATTCCTTTCCAAAGTTACTTACTTTGGACTGAATCCCTAAATAAGAACAAATTTAATCAAATTTATATTATTCTTTTCAAATAACTGTGATCATCAAATTTAATGTATCCACTCCACAATGTAATGAGCGATTATTTGATGATCACAAAAGCACAAAAAGAATTAAGCAGTAAATCGCAGTTGAAAGGAATAAATTTCATAGTAAAAATCTGCGGAGAATTACTATTACTTTCATATAATGTTGGAATGTCGAAAGTTTCTGGCATTAACATAGTTATAAATGAGATAGCTTGCGATCTACCAACCCAATTTGAATAATTCTACCACTATTGGAACCGGAATGACTTGTTCTATAATCTTTGTTAGAAACTCAAAGAAGGTTCACTTGGCATAAAACAGCTTTTCATTGTAAGCTAGCTGCATTCCAACCCCATAGAAAAACCATATTAACTTCCGGCAATTTTTATATTAAATTTGCTATTTTTATACCCTTTAACCGCGATTTACCCCTTAATCAATTTAACTTACCATCTAACGCAGATTTCTGCTTCTTTGAAGTCTACTAAAAAATTTACTATTGGTTGCAAAACGTAGTGGGACCA